TTTCGCCCCTTCCCAAAATTACTTCTACGGAAGGTTTCCGGATGGGTATGCGGAGCAAATCCATCTGGTGGAGTCAGGTTAAGAGTTCTATACATTGGGTCTTTTAATATAATGATCAATAGACTTATTCTTAGAAAAGTTCTAATTTCATAAAGAAAACTCATTATTTGAAGGAATTTTATGCATCTTTGTTGTGAAGACTATGCATGTTTACAGTGCTGTGCAATGGAAACATATTGACTCCCTTTTAGATACTTTAGTCGCACAGACATGCAAATAGGCCTATGCTCTCATTCATGCCCTGCAATGCACATATTTATTTATTCATTTTTCAACTATTTGATGTGTTTCTTTTATTTTTTATTTGTGAAATGTGAATGTGTGTGTAAAAGGTGTACTACTGCTGCACAAAAATTGCCCATGCTGGGACAAATAAAAGCTACTGAACTGAACTGAACATATTTCCAGTCATTGATGTGTTTTGTAAACTTTTTAAGATATTGTAACATCAAACAAAAGCAAGTAGTTTTTCACAGCACCGTATGGCTTAGCTCTTCCCGTGACCCGGTGCAGGCACTGATGAGAGCATCTGAACACAGTTGATCTGAATGGCTGCAGGCTGATTTGTTTTTACGATCCACTGCTTACACAGCTCCAGTGCCTCTGATTGCGGGAGCTGCACAGATTGCCTCCAGCAGGCCTGTTTCAGAGCTACGGACAAGCTGTGATGGCCTCCAGGAGTTACAGTTTGGGTTCCTTTAGGAAACACTCGGTTTGCCTTTGACTGCTCCTACATACTCTCAGAACTCCATGGCGCTGCAGTGCACAAAACCACATGAAGCGTTTGGTTCTGCTTGGCTTCAGAAACCTTTGGCAGTGAAGTGCAGTATTAGATTCAACAGCCTCAGTTATTTTGATGAAGAGGGGGGTGAGCAGGGTAAGGGGCCAGCGCCCCCTTCATCTATTCCTCACATTTCATATGGAGCATATAATAAACTTCCCACACCATCTATCCTCACTTCTACATCTCTAGTTTGCACTTATTAATATGTAAGAACTAGATTTCAGACTGGTTTCTTTCCACATAACACTGAACACAAGATCCTGGTGTTTTATTAGTCTGGGATGCTACTGCAGTTGATGTTTATCTTGCATTATACCAGTAAAAGCTGCCGGCCTGCGGCAGCGTTTATCCAACACCTCTGTTCTGTAAAGTGTATTCAGCTTGCAGCAGTTTTACTAAAGTTTTGCTAAAGGCTCTTTGCTTTCATCTTTCTCCCTCCATCAGCACTTTCAGACAATGCTGAAGACGAAGCTAAACGTGCTGACGCTGAGGAAGGAGCCGCTGCCCACGGTGATCTTTCGCGAGCCCGAGGCCATCGAGCTTTGCTCCGCCACGCCGCACGCAAAGAGCAGGACCCACTCTGGATACAAGGTAGGATCACATGAACCTGATAATCCTCAAATCCAACCCTGATCCGGAATGTTTCTCGGCATTAATGTAGAACCGTAATCCAAATGTTTTTCTTTTTTCTTTTTACTCCTAGAAGTAAGATAATTTCCCCATTGTTGATTCTGCACCACTCTTTTGTCTCACTCTGTGTATTAGAAGGCTGAGTAAGCCTTTAGGTGCCCAGGTTTAATCTGCCTGGAAGGCTGTATCCAATAAGCCGTTTTGTTTTAAGACCCCCTTTATTTCTGTGGTTTCCAGACAGGAAATAATCAGGTACAGATTGAAAAAAACAAAACAAAAAATAACTTGATATCATTGTGTGTTTGCCTGCCTTTGAGACCTTCTCTCCAAGAGGGAATTGAAATGTGGTGTTTCATTAGTAATTGTGTTCAAAAGGCAGGTATTTCCCAACTTCTCCCATTACTAAAATAAACAATTTTTATATTTGGCAGCTTCTATAAAAGGACAAAATGAATTCCTACTGTTATTATTTCCAGGAAACACAAACATGGAACAAGCAGTCCTCATGCCTGTTGATGTTTGTGTTTGTTGGATCATTGTACGGGAAAAGGAGTGGAACACACACAGATGACTGGAAAACTAAAAGGCAAAGATGGAGCCTTTGGCTCGTTACAAACAAACCCTGATGTTTTAATGCAGCCCTTAGTTTAACCTTTATGTTTGAAGCGCAAAGGGAGTCTCTTATGGCTCAGAAAGAGGCATAAGGCATCACATATTGGTTAGCTTTCAGGATTTTTATCAGCTGAAATAAAAGTAGTGGTGGCAAGAATTTCCTAACTGCCCCTTTCCTGTTGTAGTTCTTACAAATTAATAAAATTCTCTATTATCCCTATGCACACAGCTTGTTGAACATTGCAAAAGTATTCATAACCCTTGAACTGCAATCACAAATGATGTCCTTCACCTAGACAAAGTCAGTAATTGTGAAATGAATGGAAAATAATTCACTCCTTTACTCCAATACACCTAAAACAAATCCAGTGTAAACAAATGCTTTCAAATGTCACCTAATCACAGAATGGATGTGGCACAACGGCAGATCTTCTATAACATGGTTGTCTTACTAAACTTACTAGCCTGGTAGGAATTGACTGAGCTCCTTAGAAGGAGGACTGAATCTGTGTCGACCACAAAACCTGAATTCCAGTTTTGTCTTTAACCTTTTTGGGGAATGAGCCTAAAAAATAAGCCAGAGTCATAAGACTCCTAAATGCCTGAGTGGTGATGCACAGTTTAAATCAGTCACAGGTTTAATAGAAGATTAAATGATCTGTCTTTGGCTGGAACAGAGGTCTATCCTCCATGTGAATATTCACTTGCAGACTCGGTGTCTCTGTAAGGTGTGAATCCCAGCTTTTAATTGTTCTCTGTCCCTCCTCTTATGCGCACCTCCTTCCAGCAGTTCTGAAAATGCCAAAGCCACGTTGCCTTGGACACCACTACGTCTTTTCACTGGAACACTGGCCACACACACTCGTTTACACGAACACACATCTTTTCCAGCCTGTGTGCAGCTGCCTAGCATGCAGGCCTCATGCCATGTTTTAAGTTCCCTTGTCAGTTCCTACCTGTCTGTTTCAGTATCTGTCTGCCCACCTGTTCCTCTGCTTCCACCATTGCATCTCTAAGAGACACGCTTCACCTATGTGTCAGAGAACTAATGAAAGCAGGAAGGCTCAGTTCCTTTAAAAAAAAAAAACGACTTCCCTCTTATTGTATTTTTCTTTTAAATGCTGCAGCATGATAGGATAGCTTTTATCGTAATCAAGGATTTAACATTCTGTGTTTACAGAGGGGTAAGATAGCGGGCGAAAAACAACATATATTTTACTAATCTATCAAGATTAACCTCCAAAAACGATTGAAGACCATCTCTTATTTTGGTTTTTGTTCTTCACAATGCTTTGATTTGTCACATTGTCAGTGTGCAAATATAAAATTACATCAGTATATAGTCTCAAGCTTTATTGCTTTTATTCATTTGAATAATATAGATTATTTTAACATCAGACCTACTGTCTAATAGCAGCACTATTATAAGGAGAAAATCTGTTATTCATTGAGACCGACCCGTCCACAAATCTGAAAGCCGTTCTGTCCTTCTGTGACTTTTGATGCCAGTTGGGTGCTGGACAAACTATTTCTTCTCATTCAGGGAAAAGGAACAGGGTGCACAGCTCCAAACGTTTAGAAGATTAGCAACCCTGTAGGTTGAGATGACCGAGGGTTTTCCATCCCCCTTGAAAGGGCTCTTGTTCTTTTGTTTACTGGATGTTCTTTTTAATCTTTTCTGTGTTTAGAGAGAAAAATGGCTCAAATTATCAAAAGATTAGCTTTAGTTAAGGTTCTAAACTTAACCCTGTAATGCCAAATGTATCATATTTGACACCTTTTGCATAATTTAATGGTAAAGACTTTGCTCAAAATCCTATTGTACACAATCAGATATACCTGATAACAGAGGGCTGAAGACTACGTACACAGAAAATAAGCTTGACTTATCGCATAGTAATATATTATTAATATCAAAAATGTATTTCTGTTTCTTCTTTTTAAATATTTTGTTAAAAGGCCAAATAAGGACTTCAAACCAAAAGAAAGTAATTTTCTGTTTTGTTTTATTCTTGGATTGGGCTTTAAAGGGTTAAATTATGTGCAGAAGTATCTGGGTTATTTTGTCAGTGTGTAAGAAGGCAGACGTTTCGTTTTAACACCTAAATGCAGAGTCAGAAGCAGCTGATCTTGGCTACAGAGAAAATTTGCTTTAAAGAAAGAATCAAACAAGTTTGTTTTTTAAGGATTAGGAAAGAGTCTGACTCTGGCTCATATCAGTTGTTCTGTTTTGTTGGTGCCGCAGCTTTTCAGTAGCAGAGTCGAACTGAGATGGATTTCAGGAATTTACAAAAATCTAACTACGGTACTCAACATCTGTATTTTTCAGCTGGTGACACTAAATCCTGATTCTTTTTTAAACTGATAGATTCTTGTTAAATTCAGCAAATTCATCTTGCATGACATTTTATCTTCCCATAAGCTAGTGGCTGCTGCGTTTCTTTTGACTATTCAGCATCTAATTCTAGCAACTAAGGATAGCTTTTAGGTCCATTGGTGAACAAATTGGTTGTGATGCCGCAAACCAATAATATTCTAGAATAGTAATAAAGGCCACAAAAAACAAACTTGTTGCTTTTAATACTAGAAAGATGTTTGTTTTGTTACCGACTCTCTTTGGCTTTATTAGAAAAAAAGAAGAAAAATTGGTGAGTTGAAGTTTTCTTTTAATAAACTGACAGGCTTATTATTCCTGCCAAGTATTTATTTTTATTGAGGTTCCTGTTCTCTTCCAAATTGTTTTCACTAACAGCTTCTCTTACATTTTTGTTTTAAAAAAAAGTCGCATGAAGCCAGAAGCTTTTTGAAAATATTTTCTTGATTAGAAATGGTTCAAACTTTGTGCTTTTATAGGAACTGACCAAACTCCTTCAGGGCTGCAGAGTCCCTGTTAACCAAAAAAACATTTGTCGTTGCCTAAAGGCATCGTCGTGACTCAGAGGGAGTGGAAGAGATTGACACTTCCACGCCGTACACGAACACAGCATAACATGCACAATAATTTATGACTTCAGAAGCCACTGGTTTAGTAAACAAAGAAAGCATAGCTAATTAAGAAGTGCTCTATAGTATGGCTTTACTTTTAGAATGTAATGCAGATTATGTTCCCTGGAATATTGGAATAGTGGAAGGCCACCTGAGGGATTACTTCAAATCTGAGGAAGCATCTGATTCAGCAAGATTTTTCTTGGCTAAAGAGTGGACAATTTTTAACAACCTCCGATCGAAGGTTGTAACTCATGTATTCGGCACCGCTGGTACACATGCATACCTTGGAGCAGACATCCCCAACCTCGAGGCCCGCTGTCCTGCAGGTTTTAGAGGTTTCCTTGCTCCAGCGCAGCTGATTTTAATTGAAAGCTGATTAACAGGCTTTTGGTCTACTGCAATCATTATAATCAGCTGTGCTAAAGCAGGGAAACCTCTAAAACCTGCAGGACAGCGGGCCTCGAGGACCGAGGATGCGGATGCCTGCCTTAGAGAATCATTCTCTGCAGCCAACTTCATGAGTGAGGCATCATCATCATCATCATGTAAATAAGCCTAGTGTTTATGGTGACCTCAGCATGGTACTATGGTGTACAGTGATTCCCAGGTACCAGCTATCGTTACCAGTCTAAAGGGTACGCATCCCAAATCCTAATGGAAAATCGTAAAAATTCTCAAAATAATAATTAATCCTAATTTAGTCATACCTGATTGTTAAATGCACTTGCATTATTCATTACCTTTTGCCATCTGATTCCTTATATTTGTGTTGTATGTTTAAAAAGATTATTGTAAATTGTACCGAACATATTCTGCAAATATGTGTGTGATTCAAATTGAATATCATTGTTTACCTTTATCTGTTATTTATTTCTGTCCTGTAACTGAATCCTACAATGTCAAACAACAATCAGTCTGAAATGTTTCACAAATCCACACAAATCATGAAATTTCACGGTTCTTGGCATTTCCTTTAAGTCCTGGTGTGTGTGGATGATCAGCATTATTCTATAATGACGCAAATCAATACAGCTTCTATGAGTCCTGAGATATGTCATTTGTTTTTAACTAGTTGTGTTTTTTGTGAAGAGGTATCAAGAAATACAGCTTTGTATTTATTCAAATCTAAACAGCAGTGATATATGCTATACTTTTTATTGCAAGATGGTTTTTTTAAAGGATGTTGGGATTTTTCGGGATGGTGGTTTGGAAGTAAAAGCACCTTTCATGTACACCAGAAAGGTGCTGGTAACAGAAACACTAGAACTCTGTCTGCGGTGACCAACAGAGAACCTTTATGTTCCAAGGTAAACCAGCTAATGCAAACTTCTCTATTTAAAAGAAGTAAGAACCTCATCCAT